TTTACCCTGTAATGCCTCCCTGACTGCCTACCTCATTACCTCGTGTGTCTAACCCTATTGACTGCGTGACCGCCTACCCAAAGTTCCTATATGACTAAACACGTGGCCGCCTTCTCTCGAGTGGCTAGCGTTTACAAGTGCCTATCTGACCACCTACCGCAGTAGCTAACTGACCACTTTACCCTGTAATGCCTCTCTGACTGCCTACCTCATTACCTCGTGTGTCTAACCCTATTGACTGCGTGACCGCCTACCCAAAGTTCCTATATGACTAAACACGTGTCTGCCTCATTGGAACCCGAATGGTGTAAATGCTTACCCCGAGCTCTCATACTCTGATGGTTTATTGTCATTGAGTTGTGCGCCTTTTGGCGTCATCTGGTCCAACACCATGTGAGACTAGGCTCTAAAGAAAGCTGTCTCGGGTGTGGACCAATCAACTTCAAGGACAGTGCATACATTATCAGAGTTGTATTTTTTTTGCATTCCGACTGCAGGTATTGTGGTCAATTTAAACATGACTCCTTGTAAAAAAGGTGTCAGTTTTGTTGCCAGATAAAAAGGGTAAAAAAAACAATTATCATGCCGTGTCTGCCTACTTTCGAGTGGCTAGCGTTTACAAGTGTCTACCTGACTGCCTAAGCCGGCATCTACCAGACTGCCTAGCGATATTAATGCCGATACAGATCGTCCCTGAGTTACGATGGTTCGACTTACGACATTTCGATCTTACGATAGCGATACGATCGATGCATTTACATTTCGATGTAAAGCTTTCGTGACTGCAGGGATTCATCTTTTTGGTTCTTTCGGTAAAGTCACGTAGTAGGGAATTAATACATTTTATTTGATTATGTTTTATTTTATTATTTTTTATTATTTCCCTTCTACGTGACTTTACCGAAATAACCAAGAAGACGATCAATTCATGTTAAAAGTTTTTTTTAATAGCAGATAGGATTGTTTCCTGAAATAAACGTTCGATTCAATTGCAGTTTATATATGTAGGCTAAGAATTTACCTTGTTTTTGTTTACTTTACATTTTACTGTGCAATACAGTATTGTAATTAATACATACATAAAGTACAATGCGGTACAATATACTGTGTGGTTATTGTGCTATTGTACGGTAACCATAGTAGTGTTAAACATGCTTAAACTCTCGCAATATAACGCTACGATATATAGATAGATGCTGTAGTATTTAGGGCGGCTGTACGAATACAAATCGTACGTTGTTGTAAGTTGTAAGAGATTATAAAACGTAGCAACAACTTTAAAACTAATTGAGAACAGGTGCATCTTATATTCGGGAAAACACCCAATTGTTATTACGTTATTATAAAACTAGTTTACAATACGCCTGTGTATTGGATGATGTATAAAAAGGTTATATTGTAGTTGTAAAGTCCTGTAGTTTAGTCTTCTATCTGCTTAGTTTTCTATTTTCTTATTTGTAAGTATTAATTACGGTACAGTAGGTTAGCGTGCACAGGCTGGTCCAGATGTCTTGTGACTCCATTTAATTAATTAAAACTTCGTGTATTTCTATTTTTTTAAACATAAATGAATATGCAAAGGGTAAAAAGTGTTAGGGGTTAATTAATTGGTTGTCACTGGACCACCCTGTACTTTATATGTTGTAGTAATCTAACATAAGGTTATGTGCAGTCGTCGTAAATGTTGATTTGATGCTTGCCTGTTGTAGTTTATTGGTACAGTATTAAAGTATTACGATGATAAAAACAACATTATACCATACTTCACCACGGCGGTTAGTGTGCGAGTTAGAGTTAAACAAGTGCCGTTCGTTAAAATAATAAAGTGAACAAACCCATGGATAATTATTAAACATATAAACAATTACAGTACAACGGCGACCAAAAGATAAGGCCGCTAAATGTTGTTATTAATTATTGGTTAATTATCTAACATTATTTAAACACCGCCTTGACTACGTAAATCAATGTTGGTTTTACTATAATAGGGTGTGGTTCTAATTGGAGCTTGAATCGAGTTTATAATCCGGTTTATGAAGTCTTATTTGTGGTTTATTACAAAGATCGTGAGGTTAAACACGAGCCGTACATATTATTGGTTCTTTCGGTAAAGTCACGTAGAAGGGAAACAATAAAATAATAAAAATATAAAACAATAAAAGAATAAAAAATATAAAACAATAAAATTCTCACGTTTTTAAAATGTTCTTGCTGTGGATTTCACACCTGACGATGATTGCTTGTGTTGCAGTCGAAACGTCGTGATAATTTTATTGTTTAATATTTTTATTATTTTATTATTTTTTTTGTTTATATTTTTCTTATTTTATATTTTTCTTATTTTATTGTTTTATATTTTTATTATTTTATTGTTTCCCTTCTACGTGACTTTACCGACAGAACCAAGAATATGAATCCCTGCAGTCACGAAAGCTTTAAATTAAATTAAATTAGCCGTAAAGTTTATAACAATACAGGAGTGAACTTCGCTGTTAAGATTGAGCTGCAATAGTAACGTGGTTTTAGTATTAGTTTATTTTTGTTGCACTTTTATATGAGCTATGTATTACGTTGTTGCTAGTTTATTATTAATTATGTACTGTAGCTTGCATTGAAACAACAATATAAGCCGTTTACAGTATTAACAAGGTTACAGTTTATTACGTGGATGGAAAAATACGAAACGTCGTGAGAATTTTTTAAAATTTATTTTATTATTTCCCTTCTACGTGACTTTATCGAAAGAACCAAGAATATGGATAAATACTGTGAATAACAAATTATCTGGTGATATTTCTGCTACAGTAGAGAACACACACACTTAACAACAAACTCAACACATTCACCAACAACAAACACTGCTTGTGGGTTAATGGCCGAAACGTCGGACAATGTTATTGACAATGTGATCCTCACTGATCAGCGTGGTGAAATAAAACAGGTGGTGGTGTTAAGACGTTCAAACACCAAATAGATACATTTTGCAAGGAATTCAAGTCTACATTATCATATATGCATATATGATCAAATACTCTAATGTGTGTATATGCATACATGATTATCAGAGCAATCTATTAATATATTATTATCAGAGCATGTTTTTTTGCATGTTCACAAGTACTTTGTGTGGTTAATGCGGTACATGATTCCTTACAAAATGTTTCTATTTGGTGTTTGAACGTCTTAACACCTCCTGGTTTATTGCCAGAAAGGCTCAAACTTTTCCTTATTTTTCATACTTTTATACTTGCAAAACAGGTCCCATTTAATTGTTGAATGTGTTACCCCCCCCCCCCCCCCGTGTACGGTGTGAAAGAAGTTCAACGCACATTGTTTTTACTCCATCTTCAGACATTGGATGAAGGATCCCATCTAACCCTTTGCACGCAGTTTTGGGATGTAAAATCATCCAGATCGGAGTCACCCAACTCCACCATCATCGTCCACCTTCTGGGCACGAAGTGTCCTGCCCCCCATAGCCCCCCACTCTTCTTCACATTTTCTAATTGTGTCATTAGCCCCACGAATATTTACACCATTGGATCCTCATTTGCCAGTAAAAATATAATTGTTTTTTTACCCTTCTAGCTGGCAACAAAATTGACACCTTTTTTACAAGGAGTCATGTTTACATAGACCACAATACCTGCAGTCATAATGCAACATTATCAGAGTTATGTTTTTTTTTGCATTATGACTGCAGGTATTGTGGTCTATGTAAACATGACTCCTTGTAAAAAAAGGTGTCAGTTTTGTTGCCAAATAGAAGGGTAAAAAAAACAATTATCAGCCCCACGAATGTTTCTCAAGTCCACGTGTTACTGTAAGCCCCAAGCATTTATCATCATCATCTCCACGCTTCTCTCTCTAATTTAGTCGATGTTTATTCTTATTTTTGTAATCGATCTTGTAACGGTGTGGGGCCAAGTGCAACTCTAATGACTAGTCAGGTTTAGTTGTTGAAAAGTCCTTCTTGAGCCACATTGCTACGTTACATTTCATTATCAAGTAAAGCTTTCAAACAAAACCCAACACTAATTATTACATCTTGAGATGCGATTGCATTTAGTTACATGTCGGCTCTTGAAGTACTCGTTGTTTTTAAAACCTTAAAGTATCTGAGGCATGTCTTTATAGTACGTATTCGTTGTACTTCGGGGTACAGACGTATTTGGAAGTGTTCTAGAAGCCATGTGTCCTACATGATTTGTAAAAATAATATTGAGATGCGATTGTATATTATATTTGTTACATCAAGATCTGGGCGATTATCTATTGCTGGACATCTGTGAAAAATTGCTTTTTACCTCAAAATACTTTGATTCCGATCTCATAAAATCCATCGATCGACCATAAATTGTAATCCACGAATTGTTTTCATTCCACCTATTGGCTCTCACGAACATGAGTGGGGGGTGAGTTGTGGCTTGTTAAACACATGCCGCTGGGATTATATCAGCTGTGATCGGTAAAAGTCAGCGGACTTAGGCTGTAGGACAGAAAGGGGTCCTCCAGGAGTCAGTCGGTGGCCAAGGACAACACGAACGGCAGCCAAAAGGCGAGACAGACTCTTTCGTGAAGACGCCAAATTACGAGATGGGAGAGGGAAAAATTGAAATCAGGGGTTGGATTATTGCGTCGTAGAATCGTGAGAGAGGTTGTCGATGGCTTTGAGGAGGCCTTCATCCAGCAGTGGCTCGAACAAGGTCGATTCTAATCATTAATTCATGTTCGAGTGCAAGAGCACTCCGTGTATAAACTAACACTGTAAGTGGGTGGTGGTGGTGGTGGTCGGGGCGGCGTGCGGCTGGGGGGGCGGGGGAACTACTTTTTTTTATGGACCTTTATTTTGACCGCGGAGGTGGCTGTGTCCTCGTGCGCGCCTGTGTTGGGCGGGCGGGGCGGTGTGCGGCGGAATGGCGGTGAAGTGGCTGATTGTGCTCCGCCGCGACTATAAAAGCCCGCGCGCAGCGCGCGCCCGTCCCTCGCGTGCGCGCGCAGTCGCCCGTGATTGATTCCGTTCCCTTAGTTTTCATTTATTAAATTTTTATTGTTTATTACTTATTCGTGATTGTGAGACGATACCAACACAGGTTTTTTTATTGTTCGTCCACGCAATATTCTCGGATTTTTTTTTCTTTTGTTTGATACATTTTCGTGTTAATTTCGATCCCACACGAAACAAAATTTTTCGCGGGGTTTTTTATGATCCCCGTATTGTAATTTTAATACAATTTTTTGTTTTCTTTTGGTTTATTTTAGTTGTGTTCCGGTCATAAACGTATATTTGAGAGAAAATCTTTAACATTTCTCAACGTCAGACAATTCCAAGTAAGTAGGCGGTGCCAAGGCGATTTCGCATTAAAAAAATTAACAATTCGTACAGTAAGTGGCTTTTTGGTATTTATCCAGCAAAGTATGAAGGATAAAAATAGCACAAATCGTGTAAACTATTGAAATATGTGAAAAAATATAGATATTCTATTAAAAATAATGCCTTGTACAGGTTAAGTGGCGATGTGCTTTTGTTACCTTGGCTATTGGTAGTTATACATGTTTAAAAAAATAATTAAATGTATATTCCATAAAACTTGTATAAAATGTTGACATTTAACTGTCTCATTGATTATTGTTTTACATGTAGTTATATTTAACATTAATTTATTGTCATCTCCAGATGAAATGCGTCTTTAAAATGTGAATTATTATTGCTGATTGTTGAAAATAGTAAAATGTAAGGAATACGTATCGTTTATTTCATTAATCTACTTATAGATTTTAAAAAATCTAATGTAAGGAATACGTATTGTTTATTTCATTAATCTACTTATAGATTTAAACGCCTATTTGTATCTCGCTAAACGTAATATCCATTGTTACAAAATATCCGTGGCATCTCTAACAAATGCATTATAACGAAACTACATTACACAATTCATAGACGATCCACAATGTATACAGCACGTTTAAATTATGCATGCCCATTTCAATATGCAAGTGATATACGCAATAACTGTATCCTATGATGCTTATACACTATTTTGGTGCATTATGGTACTGTAATGTGATATGCAATATTGCTCGTGTTATAGGTTAGCGATTTGTGTCTATAATACGAACTGGCGATCTTGAATTGACCAGCGTGGTCAAGTGTAGGCCCTTCAATCTAGCAGGGAATGTGCAAAAGACATTTCCATTGTCATTCATATTAAATATCCCCTTGAACGTCTTAGATAATTACAGATTGTCTTGGTCCCCAGCCCCCGCCATGTCGGTCCACGTGGCAATCTGAGAGAGATTCTCGATAATTTTCACGACGCAATAGAATTGCGTGATACACATTGCCAGCCGTGCACAATACATCACAACACTGTAATAGATTGCGTGGCTGGTAAATAACCTGCCCTGGGGCGAGAGAATGGCTTCTGTTTGCTGCTCTAGTTAAGAAGACCATCTTCCCATCCCAACATTATCAGGGGTTTTCTTGAGCCAGAGACCCAACACAAATGGCCAGTGCTTTAGGTTAAATAGGACTCGCTGTCAATAATCCACTGCTGGATGAAGGCCTCCCCCTCCCCACACACACCGGTTGTGATCACGCGACGTCGTTTGACCATACTTCACCACGCTGGTCAAGAGGTGGAGGGGGGGGTAGGCGAATATTGATGGAGGATCGATGCGAATTATCACAGACATTAGCCCGTGTGTCTGGCCATGCATGGGGGGTGGTGGTGGTGGGCGGACCACGTTCAGCAGCAGCGCACTGCCTCTGCATATCACTCGGCCACTGATGTTAGCCGGGAGTGGGGTGGGGGTGGTGGTGGTGGGAATCTGAACTCCTCATCCCTCGTCTTTCCAGGGTTCATAACTAGCCGCGCTCCACTACCACACGAGGTACGTTAACAATTTGATGTTCATTTGCAATTGTTTAACGCGCTAAGAAGGGGGCTTGCTTGTGTGTGTGTGCAGTTGTGGGTTCTGGGGGGCCGCCCTTCCTACACGAACGCTTCCTCCGCCCCTAGTTGGTATACGCAGCACGTATGGTACACGTTCACACGGCGTGTGTGTTGGTTAACGCGTGTACAGCCGTGTGTGTGTGTGTCACATTCACAGTGGCGCCTGTATAACTAAGGGAGGCAGTATCATTGTGTGCCTGTTGGGGGGGGGGGGGTTGGAGTTTTACTGTGTTGGGTGTTTCCTATTTGCGGTATATACGGTGTGTGTGATGTGGACATTGTGTGGTTTTCTCGTTCGAGAGGATAGATTGTGGTTTGTATGAAAAGGGGTGTGTAGATTGTGTGAATTTATATTTGGCGTTGTGTCCCGGTGTGTGTGATGTTTGCTTTGTAGGATTGATGGGGTTGCATTGTGTGATGGGTGGGGATGTGGGGGGGGAGATGTGTATTAGTAGCTGTGGTGTTGTGTGGTTTGGGTGGTGTGTGTATTGTGTGATGGGGATGTGGGGGGAGAGATGTGTGTATTAGTAGCTGTGGTGTTGTGTGGTTTGGGTGGTGTGTGTATTGTGTGATGGGGATGTGGGGGGAGAGATGTGTGTATTAGTAGCTGTGGTGTTGTGTGGTTTGGGTGGTGTGTGTATTGTGTGATGGGGATGTGGGGGGAGAGATGTGTGTATTAGTAGCTGTGGTGTTGTGTGGTTTGGGTGGTTTGTGTATTGTGTGAATTAAGGTGGGTGGTTCCGTGTACTACGCCATTGTCACCGTAATGTATGCGTTGTGCATTGCGTTGTTGCCGTGACGTGGGTGGCGCGTTTTGTAGTTCGCGTCATTGATGAGATTGGTGGTATACGTGACTTGGGTGGCTTTGGGGGGGGGGGGGGGTACTTACTGTGGTGCATGGTAACGTGCTGGTTACCGGGGAGGGAGTGAGGGAGATGGTACGTGAAGGTGGACGTGATGGCACACGCTGTAAATGTCAAGTTGGCTCTCTCTGGCTCCTTGATAATCGGTCCCGCAGAGAGAGAGAACCCCTCCCCACTGCTTTTGTGTGTGGCTGTGTGACGTCGGTTGGGTTGATGTTGTTGTGCTGCTTGGTTGTGAGTATTGTGTGGTTAGGGTGTGGTGTTTGTAGGATATGGTTGTGCGTTTGCATTGAAGTATTGTGCCCCGTACTTGGGCTGTTAGAGGGGGGGAGGGTCGTGGTGTCAGGATTTTGGTATTGCTTTGTTGGGGGGTGGGGGGTGTTGATCGTGAGGGGTGGTGTGTGGTTGTGATGAGTCTGGTTGTGTAACGGTGTTGTTGTTGGGTGTGGTTGTGATGAGTCGGGTTGTGTAACGGTGTTGTTGGGTGTGGTTGTGGCTTCTCATTTGATGGTGGTGGGGTGGTCGGGTCGGCCTGTCGTGCCCACTTGCCACGCCTTACACATCGAGAATTCAGCAGATCGCGCGCCGAGGGGAATTGATTTAATTGAGCGCAGCTGAGCCTCGTTGGGTGGTGGGGTGATTGGGGTTGGTGGGGACGCCTTTGGACGGGAGGTGGGCGGCGTGCTCGCCAACAATCGGCTCAGATTTTGCAAGGAGCAGAGACATTAAATTCGTTTGGCTCCCCCCCCCCCCTTATATTCGGATCAAATTAATCGGCGACCGAGGCCCAATGGTGCCTCTGTGAGTCTTAACCATAGTCGACAATGAACCGGTTTAGGTCTCCTAGCCCGTTCAGCCGTCCAGTGAACGTATGGACAGCGTTTTGTCAATCCACTGCTGGATGAGGGGGAGGGGGGTATTTTCGTCATCAAAGAGCGTGGGTTTTATTCACTACTTAACGTTGATCGGTGAAGGTTGGTGAAATTGGGGAGAATGGAAGCACAGTACAATACCTGATATTTTCTGCACTGCTTTTGATATCCTGGTGTGCATGATGGTCACCCATCTATCTAGATTCAACCTCTGCTCAGCTTCCAATATATCGGTGGTGATGGGAATTGTGATGATTATTTGACTTTGATGGTTCTGTTATTGGTGGCTGGAGTTGCTAGTGGAAATCATGATGATATAGTGGTATTTGTAGTGGAGATTTAGTGATAGTCAAAGCTATTTCTTACTCAAATGAGCAGAGGTTCATCTATTTGCAGTCCCAAGTTCGTGGTTAAAATTACATTCGTATGGCATGGGTGAGTCGATTTAATGAGGACAATCACTCTGGAGATTTCCCTCAAGTGAGTACTAATTTTATCAGCCCCGGAGGAATGATGGGCTGAATCAACCCCTAGCCAGGATTGGAACCCATTCAGACCGCGAACCCGCTCGGCTGTTCACCTGGCCGGATTATTATTATAGAATTATAAGTCTTAGTTGCGGGTTTAATAAAGTTAGTCTGTGTTGCGTGAGTTGGATTCGTTTGTGTAGAGAAAATGTGGCTGTAACTGTTTTGCAGCTACATCTGTGGGTGTGTGACAGGTTGGTTGTTTTGTATGATTTGTTAAAGTTAGAAGTTTTAGTAAAATCGTTGTGTTGGTGAGTTTTGATTATGGTCGTGACACGGTTGTGGCGGTTAAAAGGTAAAAAGTTCGCTTGGTTTTTAGATTGAATTCACCTGCGCGCTCGTTTGATTACTTGAAAATGAATTGGCTGCCCCCCCCCCCTCATTGGCTGCGCGTGCACGTGGCTGATGTTGATAGTTTCAGATGAGCGGTGCACGCGCATCAAGCGATGGGTGAACGAGGCTCACGTGATTCATTAACCCGCCCCACTGCCAACCCCCCTCATTAACCCGCCTGGCTCCCAAACACGTGCGCACAATGGACTTTTGTCTGCGTTTATCACCTGCATTTGAACACGATTCAGTGACGTTTTCACTGGAAACCGGTCGTCTGGTCGAGTTCGCCTGAATCAAAGCGAGGGCGCTTTACCTGATTGCTTAGTTGTGAAACGCACGTGATTTGTGTGCACACCTTTGCAGCTAACGGTACACTAATCGAGAAATCTGTACCAACGCCTTACGCGTTGTTACTGTAGTGCCTTTTTTTTCCTGGTTCGGCCAACAATTGTGTGGAACGCTTCGTGACAAGTGCCAACGTGTAAAGTAGGCCCTACTGCAGTAAATATTTCAACAATAGTGTACTGCAGTAGCACCAATGCTTGTAAAATAATAACTTAAGTGTTTTTGTTATACACTGCTGGATGAAGGCCCTCCCCTCTACACACCCATGTCTTATCATGGGGGTTTGTTTGATCCTACTTAACGTTGATTTGTGTGGGCTGGCGGAGACGGGATAACAGGCTTTCAGATATCACTTTGCCATCGGACAATTATTTGGGCATCAGTTGTTGGTCGTGTCGGTGAGAAAAAAAATTGAAACCACCACGCCCCACAGTGCTTGTGCATGTATATCCGCTTTTTAAATCCTTTATATTAAGTTCGCTTGCTTGC